GTGGCCCGTGCTGCTCAGCAGTGTGCAGTGGAGGCGATGGTGTGCTGGGTCTGGTTCTTGGCCTCAAGAAGCTGTGTGTGCATCTTTTTTTTCTCAGTTAGAGCATGGCCACGGCCACCGGGGAAAGTCCAGGCAACTCTGCAGGAGGAGGAGAGACTGTGTGGAGGAGAGCTCAGCTGTCCCCGCAGACACCATCCCGCCCGGCCTGCGCTCAGCTGACAGCCCCCCCAGGAAGCCCACCAGGTCGGCAGAGCCACCTCCTAACCCTCGGCTCACCCCAGAGGCACGATCCCAGCCAAGTCCAAAAGAACCCCACCACCACCCCGCAATCTGGTAAACAAAATTAAATGCTTGTGTTTTGAGCTACTAAAGTATCAGGGTGGTTTTTCACATAGCAGTAAGTTGTGAGACTATACAGAAATTGCTGGTCCCTAGCACCCTCGTTGGTTTAAATTACGTCAAATTGTATCAATTCATCCTTTACACAGCTGGTTAATAATCCGTGAGTAATGGAAAAATTTGAAAAGAGAAGTCTAAGTCTGGTCAATAGAACCAGTCTCGAAACCACTCCAATTGCTCACTACAGGGGCACAGGAATCTGCAAAAGTTGTGTTCCCCTGAGTTCTGCCAACTGTTCAGGTTGCTTCAGAACATGGTTACAGGTTACCACGGAGAAAATGTATAAAGAAATGTGTAAGGCCGGGCGCAGTGGCTCACGCCTGTAATCCTAGCATTCTGGGAGGCCAAGAAGGGCGGATTGCTCGAAGTCAGGAGTTCGAAACCAGCCTGAGCAAGAGCGAGACCCCGTCTCTACTGTAAATAGAAAGAAATTGATTGGCCAACTAATATATATAGAAAAAATAGCAGGCATGGCGCGCATGCCTGTAGTCCCAGCTACTCGGGAGGCTGAGGCAGCAGGATCGCTCGAGCCCAGGGTTTGAGGTTGCTGTGAGCAGGCTGACACCACGGCACTCACTCTAGCCTGGGCAACAAAGCGAGACTCTGTCTCAAAAAAAAAAAAAAGAATGTGTAAAAAAAAGCTAAAATCCACAGCAATAGTTTGGATATCTCTGTGAATTGGGAGGTCAGGCAATACCCCATGCAGGTGTATGCAGTAGTCCCCTATTATCCATGCAGGTGAAATTAATTGAAACCAAATACAAGGTGAGCAAGCTTTCCCTTCTGTAGTTCATGTAAAAGAGAAGAAACAGGATAACACCGCAACTGCAACCCACTGGCCTGAATTAAGGTGTGGTGGCAGCAAACCCTGTGTGCTACAGTTTGTAAAAATAATGTCTCATAGATGAGTCCAAGACAGAAGTACTGGCCACGGTTAAGCTAAGAATGGGACACTTAACTGGCAGGTGCCCAACAAGGGCCATGAGATATTCCCAAGGCTCCTGCAGTTTGTGTATCTTGAGCCAGGCTTTGGGTGTGCACAGAGTAGACAGTAACGTGTGGGCCAGGGGACCTTCTAGACTTCAAGTCTGTCAATCCAACATGATTCCAAGTGTCTACTCATTTGGCTCCTTGCACAAGGCTTGGGTGGGTGGGAGGGTGCTGAGTACATTCTCTGGAGCCATCTTCCCCCCCCAGTCTCTGCCAAGCATTCCTGTGTGGTCAGTGGAATCTGCCCCAGCCTTGACCGGGGAAACCGATGACCATGTGCAAATGTCTCAAAGATGAAACAATGCCTAGCTCACCGGTGGGGTCCGAAAAGGAAAAAAAAAAAAAAGAAAAAGAAAAAATCAAGACAAAAATATGAAACACAAGGAAAAAAATTCCTTACCTGGAGCAAATGTAAGAAAAAGGATCTAGTAAAAGGTTCTTTCCTTTATTGGGGCAAAGATAAGAAGAGTTGGCACTACAAAAGAGCTTTCAGTGCTCTCTGACTTGAGCCTATTTCAATCATATTCCTGTGACCCAGTAACAGATGCTCAGAGAGGTCAGTAAAGGTGAGAAGCCACACCTGCCAGTGATTTTTCAAAGCTGGAGATGTTCGCATTTGAAATCCCTTCTAAGTGAAGAAGATCCTCCTCCAAGGACTGGTAAATTATTAGTCAATGCTGAAAAGCATAAAGTGTTGAACTTCATCCAGACTGACAGAAAAAAAATCTAAGAGAAGATCATGTCAGGATCACTTTAGGTGGCTGTAGTAAAATGTTAATTTAGAGCACAGGGTCCAATTCTTGACTCTATTCTCTATCAAAGGTAAGGAAAAATTAGAAAACGTTGTGCTGAAATGCAACTCCTCCTTTCAGAGACAGTTAAGAAATGACACAGCCCTGTGGTCCCCAACCTTGTTGGCAACAGGGACCATAATCATGGAAGACAATTTTTCCACGGACCAGGGAAGGGGGGCAGATAGTTCCAGGATGATTCAAGAGCATTACATTTATTGTGCACTTTATCTCTATTATTACTACATTGTAATATATAATGAAATATTTATATAGCTCGCCATAGGTTGGGGACCCTGGCCCAGTCCACGAGGCCTATCCCGATGCCCTAAAATAGATTCTCTTCCTAGTGTGTGCTCTCATATATCCTTATATAAATGCCATTGAAAAATTATTAGAAGAATTTGATAAAAAGAAATAAATTCATTAAGGTGATGGGGAGCTAGCACCTAAAGAAATGTTTAAGGCAATTAGAATAGTTTTCCCTTAACAAAAGAATAGACAGAAATTCAACGTAAGCCTAGATTTCAAGCATGGTGATTTGGAAATACGCAGCGCACGCACTGACTCTAGGCCCCACCCAGGAGCTGCACACGCAGGGAATATATGCTCAGCTCGATATCAGCCTAAGCAAATATACTTAAGAAGATTGCTTCATATCATATTAACACAATGGCGTCTCACGTCAAATATCTCTGGAGTATTTGCTTTTTTGCCTTATCGATGTCAATGTTCCCCTTCCACAAAGCATACTTGCCCAAGAGCTGATTGTTAACAGCTGAGATGTAAGTAGCTGTGTTTAGCATCACTCGGAAGGGAAAATGGGTTTAAGTGTCTAATGTAGGTGACACAAAGTGGAGACTGACATTGGGAGGGAAATGTGCAATGATGTAGGAAAATGGTGATAAGAATAGGTGGAAAATAGAGAGAGAGCTCCATCCCTTCACGGAGCTTATGGTCAAGATTATGGGAAACGGGGCCGGCGAGATCTGGGGACAGAAGAGCGTACAGGACTACTAAAAAAGGAAGGAGGCAGGAAGGTGCGCAGAGATGCATGATACAGCAGATGGCAGAAAGCAAGGCAGGATCAAAGAGTTAGGCAGAAAATGGAAGGGTGGCCAACAAACCAGAAAAGGGCAAATCATTCAAATCGGAGTTTTAAGTGTTCAAAAGAAACTGATAAGTGCTTTCTTAGCAATTGTGGAAAACATTTGTTTGGTGGAAGAAAAAAAAACACGCTATAACTATAAAAATATCAAAAGTGATAAAATGATTAAATATATCTGTGACATAGACCCATTTTGGTTTAAATTTAAAATTTCATGATTCTATTTTAAAATTGAAAAACTGAGATTTGCTTGGAAAATGACATTGATTTACTTCAATGAGACCACATTTTCCTCCTGACAGTTTCTATAAGTACGTTCATATTTTCCCTTCCATAATTATTGACCACCGGTAACTAGCTGGTAATCCTATAAAGTCTCACTCAACCATGGCTGAACAAGGAATGCGAGTTTTATTTTGAAGTCCAAGTAAAAAGACCAGTAGCAAAAGGAACTTATTTACATATTTAGAAATGCTCCTTATTTAAAAAATACATGGTGTTTTTTTCAAACACTGTGCATATGATACCATCTTTTAAAAGGGCCCAGATCAAATCTAGCTGCAGAAATTTTCTTCAAAAACAGGTACATATGCAAACAGTCCACAGTTAGCCTTCAGGGCATAAATTGCAGGGATAGAAGGCATCTCCTCTTCATCCCATGCCCCGATGCTCTGAGCACAAATTAAATGATCAGTATTAACGCTCTGGCTGAATATTTGGCCCCTGAGTAGACATGCTCTCTTCCACACTGTTCTGAGTACCACAATCAATGCCAGATTGAAAAGGAAAACCACAAAGGCCTTACCTTCTTTATTTTTAGATGTGCAGTTAATGTTTGAGTAAACATGAGCTGCATGAGAACACACCGCAAATGGTTTGGGTTAATTGTCTCGGTCATTCCCTTGACATTCATACTTCTCTTATAACCAGCAACAATTTTAAGGTACACAATGGGTTTATGAAGTGTCATTCAGAGTGCTTTATGCGACTGGCTTCGATAGATGTGCCATTCAATTTTAATGCCAGGAAAGCAAGGCTGTTTAAAGCCAAGATGTTCTGCAATCGTGCCCTCAAGGTTGTATTAGTATTACCACCAAGACGGCAGTGGAAGTAGAGCTCCCGCCATGAAGGAAAGTGCTTTTCCAAGATCTTGGTTAAACTGTAGACCAGTTACTATATGTATGAGATAGCTTTCTTGTTGTTCCATAAAAAAAATGTTATGCCATGAATATTTAGTTTTGTCTTTGAATGGGATAAAATGAGGCTCTAAAACAATTACTTTAATAAATGAAACGAACTATTGTTTTTGTTTCACTCTGATGAGCATTAATTCTAAATGACAATCATTCCATTTTTATCGTCGAGATTAAATGAGTCAGTACAACAACACATGCACATCTCTACCAAAAGCACCTGCTATTTTATTATTGAGCTTCCCAAATGCTATTCCTAGATATCATCACCTATTAATGAAATCACTCCATCTCTGACTTTGGGAATCAAGGACACAAACCTACAGCTTTCCAGAGAAAAAATATGTTATTTTCTTGGGCTAGGAACACAAACTCCCTTCCTTCCATTCCCTGAAATTTTCATAAGAAATATTTGATAATCAGTGAGGAAATCAGTTATCCTAATAAATACATTTAAGTCAATGAAAAGGAATATGAAATTGCCAAAGCTGACATGCCAGTGGCGGCCAATGGCCTTACCTATCAGCGTGTGAAAGATGGCAGCGATGGCCCCGGCCACCACCATACACAGGACGGCTTTGGTCCTGTCTCGCTTGCTGTTCACAAACACCAGGCCCACGTTTTTGAAGTCACTCATGGGACCCGTGAAGAACTTCATTAGGGAGTATGCCAGCCCGTAGCTGGCCAGCATTTCGACTGCATCTTCCTTGACAGCAGCAATGCCCCGGTTCAAGGCCTGGGGAGGGGGAAAAGAAACCCACAAACAGCATTAGAAATGTCATCTCATCTCTGGGGAACCACACTTCTAAAAATGAAACTCAGCAGATCATGTTTCTATAGAAACACTAAGCAGCTTATAGGGCAAATCTCACTGTCATTTGATAAAGGTGATTGGTTTTCATTTTCATCTGCATTAGCTTTGGTTTGGTCATCTTTTTGTGAAAGAGATACCTGTCCATTGGGGTTAAAGTAATAGGAAAAAAAAAAAAAAACCCAACAAGTATTTTATGTTAATAACAGAAAATAATCCTAAGAAGTTTTGGTTAAAAGTTGGTTAAAAAGAGAACTAACATGTTAAATTTGTGGGCTGAATCTACATAGCAGGAACAGGTATTGTGTCAATGAACCAACCAGTTTATACTGGGGAGAGAGGTGTTCTTGTCCCACTATAGCCAGTCTCGGTGCTACCTTGGTATGCTCATGAAAGCTAATTGGAACAACACTAAACGAGCCTATCGGTGCCAGAAAGAGGAAAGGCTGAGTACAGCAAAAGAATTCAAAGTAACCCTCAAATGCATTTAATATGTAAGAATCATACTCTGTTACAACAAAACAAAGTAAGCCCAGTCTATTGGGTTTCACTGAATCTGATACTATCAATTGTAAGATAACATTATCAGTTATACACCACCAAGAAAGAAAAAAATACTCCCAATTGTATCTGTATGCCCATGATTTTAAGATGTATTCAGATTTCAGAGACACTAAAATATGGGGGTGTGGGTGGGGTGTGCCTCAAAAATCCATGAAGGTATTTCGCGTCACACTTAAAGTTACTCCTTAGTTTCGAGGGCTGCTCTAGGTTTGGTCTCTAAATTAACACAGCATACTGTCAGCATAAGCACAGGTAGAACTAATGAGCAAAACCCAAGGGCTTCTTTGCCTTTCATTCCTTTATGAGACACGGCTGGCTGATATGAAAACATACAGAGTTGAACATTCTTTGCAAAGAACAAAATGTAGTTACAGGAAAATACTAAAACTGATTTTAGAAAACCTTAGAATAAAAATTTATGATAGCTATGGGAATTCATTTTTCTGACAAAGTTGGTGTTATATAAGCTAGTTTCTGATGATTATTTCCAATTGTATCTGTAATTCCTTTTCCTTTCTTCCAGTAATAACTTGAAGACTTCCCTAAGAACCTTCTTGGCCTCTGCAGTGCACACCTGCCGTGATGCCTTTCTTAGAAACAAATCTTCCCTTATGCCAAAGCTGATCGAATACCTTAACACCCTAAAGCAAAATAAAAACCAAGAAGCTCCTTTTATACTAAATCCCCTTGTGTTTGACAGGATTATCTAGTCAGAGGGCTCCTGCTATGTGTCAAAACTTACCACTTGACAATTTACCGAATTAATTCCTTCTGGACTTCTGTAGCAGATGCTATGCTGTCGGTTCCCCGCCCAGGTCCCCTCTCCTGGGAAGTGTACCCATCCCAGCTGCTGGGAGTTGGCACTCACGGCTCACAGCCACCTTCCCAGGGGGCAGTGTCCCCAGCCCTGTGCACTGGGCAAGCACACCTGACACCTCTACCAAGCCGTCAGGCTGGCAGACACTGGTATAAAAGACCAGCACCTCTGCCTCCATGCGGAACCACTCAGTTGTGATTCCTGCCCCAGGATCCCCCGTGGGCTCGGAGGAAGCTCATCTCCAGTGTAGACCGACTCCTTGCTCCACTTTCCCACTGCCCAGCCTGCCCCGTCCGCCACGCATGGGGGTCTGGCGCCTAGAGAACTCAAGGCAGGACAGCTTCTAATCACTCGTCTTTCAGACGTCGCAAATAGTGTATGGTGTTTTTCTTTGTCTTTCCTATCCTCCTCCAAATCCGGCATTGTGAATTGTTTGCTTTTTATTGCTCAGATGTGTTAAAATTTAAATGATATATATTATTTAGCACAAGTTCTAAAAGCACCTAGTAGGGTACCTAAATAACTGATGACCTGACTTTTTAATATGTCTTCTTAGAAAAACTTTATTTTTTCCTAAAAAGACATCAGACCTGGCTGAGGCATCCTCTGCAATGAATTCTATTTCCACCAACAATTCTTTGGTCCTAAAGCCGGTGCTGGGTAGGTGGGAAGAAAGGCCCAGGTAATGATAGCTCTGTCAGCAAGATCGAGTGGGAAAGTTTCATTTAGCCCAACAATTACCGTAATTTGAAGCAAGAGCACAGGGTTTAGAGCCGTGCAGACTTGAGCTGGAATCTGCTTCTATCACTTAACTGCTGAGTGGCCCTGACCAAGGTATTATTTCATATTTATTCTCCCTGAAATAACCCAGCAATCTTAGATGGAATGTGGTGACACTGCAAGCATCTCAGTGTTTGTTGAATGAACAAATGAATTAGCTGTTTTCTACCAAGAATTTTAATGTTCATACTAATTTTTATGAAATTAAATCACATTTTAACTGTAAGATATAATTGCTTGTAAGATATGCCATTGATTTAATGTTTTTCATGACCACACTAAATGTACACATTATTTGCAAAAGAGCCTGATTTCAAGAAACATTAAAGTGCATGGACAAAAGCTTCAGAATCGAGGGCATGTACTATATCAGTGTTACTCGCCCTTTGTCATTCCCACGTGTTGCAAATTTGTTCACTTCTTAGTTTCATGATTTGCCTTGATAGACTGCATAATAATAATTCTAGTATCCAATCATTCTATGGAGTTTCTTTCTATGCTTCTTAGATTTGCTATTTTTACCCCCCCAATAGGTAATTTTGTTCTGATGCATGGCTCCATTTGCACACTTTTAAATCTCCCTGGAACCTATGAAGTGAGTTATGAGTTAATTTCCTCCAAGTAGTTTATTTCCTCAAACCACTTATTGAATACACCATTCCTCTCCCAATTTGTGATGGTTTCTTACCATTCATTAAGTTCTCCTGTGCCCCTCAATCACCTGTTGTTTGCTTCAGCTGTCTCTATTTGCTCACCCTGTTTCTCTTCACAGCCTGTTCACTACCTGACACCGTATCCTATCTACTTGGAATCTCTTTTATGGCCTGTCTGCTCTAGCTGAACGTAAGCTCCAGAGAGCAGAGACCTGCTTCTCTGCTGTATCCTATTCTCACAGCATGGTAGGACATCGCACGACAGATGATCGGTAAGTATTTGAAAGAACGAAGGAAAACGTGTATAAGCAGTGTAAACATTTACTGTGATATGCACTGAAGAGAAAAGACACAGTAGTTTCCCTCCCTTATCCACAGAAATGTTTCAAGACCCCTGGGGAGGCCTGAAACCGCAGACAGTACTGAACCCTATGTATATACGTTTCTTCTTATAAATTAGGCACAGTAAGGGAGTAACAACAATAATTAATACTCAAATAGAATAATTATGACAATAGACTGTAATAAAAGTTACACGAATGTGGTCTCTCTTTCAAAATAATGTAATATTTTCAGACCTCGGTTTAACTGAAACCAAGGAAAGCGAAACTGCGGATTAGGAGGGACTCTTGTGTGCCAATGAGCTGGATGCTTTTTGGAGAAGCATATGGATAGACGAGGTGACCCCTATAAGGAGGTGACATTTGAGCTGGGACCTAAAGAACAAGAATGAGACCAGTATATGAAGAGCTGGAGGAAGGCTTATTTTTAATAGAAGGGAGGCCAGGAAGAGGAGTAGATAGTGAGTTTGGAAAAGTGGGCAACGCTAAGCTCATTCCAGGTTGGGGTGAAGAACGTGCGTTTTGTTGCAAGAGCAGGGGGAGGCGTGGAAGGGGCTGGGCAGGGGTGGGACGGAGGCTCGTGCCATTGTCACAGCAATGGAAGCAGACGCGGAGGGAAGGGGGGCGCAGGGCTCTGTGGCAGCGGCAGCAGCGTAGGCCAGGGAAGGTGGGGGCCCGGGCTGGGGGAGCGGTGGAGAGGGAGAGGCGCAGGCAGACAGGAGAGCGTTTGGGAGGGAACGTCAGTGATCTGGTGATGGACCACACGGTGGGCTGAGGAAGGGAAGAACCTGAGGATGACTGTTGAGCTTCTGGCTTGAGCCCTGGTCAAGTGCAGCTGCTATTCACTGGGGTGGGGAGACGGTGGGCTGGAAAAAGCAAGAGCTCCACTGGGAGCCTCATGCTGGTTTGAGACACCCGTTAGAACTCCAAGTAGGGAAATCAAGTGAGATAGCTCCGTGCGTCTGTGGCTACACATTGGGAGGTCATCAGTACATAGACAGTATTTAAAGCCAGGGGACTGAATGAGATCTTCTAGAAAGGACAGAGGGAGAAAGGAAAGGAGCCTAAGATTTGGCCCTAGAGCACGTGGGGCATAAATGTAAACATGCCAAGGACATGGCAAGCCTTCTGTGTCATGCTGGGGTTGTGACTATGCTGTAGCTCAGCGTCCCAGGAATGTCACTCCCAAATACTGCCACCTCTCCAGCCAAAACCAGGAAGACAGTCACTGTGGCTGGTAGAGAAGAACAAGCTATGGTCGTGACCTTCAGCTACAGAAGCGTCTTAATGTCTTCAGCACGAGTTGGGCCTGGAGGCAGAACTCTGGCCAAGACATTCATAAGCACAGAGGTTCACCTGCTGTTTAAAGGCAGGTTGTTTCTAAATGTTCACAGGCCTTCCAAAGTAAAGACACTTTGCTTCAGATTAGGGCCAGATCTAACAGCACTCGAACAATTGTAAATACGGAGCTGCCCTTTCATCACAGCCTGGCCCCGGCCGCAGGTGCGTGGCACGGCGCCTTTCCTCACACTTCTCACGGGCACTCTCTACGCCACGGCACTCGGCAACATGGAACGTCTGACTCAAAAACACATCTGGGTCCAAAAATCATCGAGTGGATCATACGTGCCTGCGTATCTCCTGGTATCTGCCAGGTTCGTGCTGTTCTGTTGCCTGATTTTTTTTCCCCACAGTAAGTTTGCAAAACCACAGGATATTAAAAAGTAAAAAAATACAGCCTCCAAGGCAATGGTTACCAAATCCCACAGGTATGAACTGATCTCCCTGGTATGAGCTGTCTAGATCATTACACCTTAACAGAGATCCCCGGCATTTTTAAACCTCAGACCTAGAGACCAGAAATATCTCCATATTGTAGACTGAGATTCTTCAGGACAAGTGTCGCCCGCTCACCCGAACCCCCTAATCATTTTATGCCCATGTCAGCCACAAGCATTCCTTGCACACAGGGACCCCTGGGGCCCAGGGCTTGGTGGGGGGTACTCCTCCTCCTCGGGAGTGGGTCTGGTGCACAGGCTGCTCAGCCCATCTCGCGTCTGGACACCTGTGAAGCACTGATGTGTAGGCAGATGATTGTTCTGGGCTCAAGACAAAAGCTGAGCCAGTGAGCCATGGCCACAGAGACAAGGTGGTTCACTGGTCTGATTGCCCTGGGCCTCTGCATGAGAACGGCCCTTTCCCATCCTCCCTGCAGGTCTCCTCATGGTTACAAGGCCCTGGGCAAGACCCTGAGGTCCTGCTCAAACAGCACCTCCCTGCCTCTGCCACACTTGTCACCTCCACCCGAGAGTGACTCTGCACAACCCCCAGCTGTTGATGTCTACCCACTGGCTGAAACGCCTGAGAATTCCAGAGTTGGTCAAGAGGAGGCGGTGGGCACGAGGAGGAGGGCACTGCAGTGGTGTTTTCCTAGGGTCAGCCCTTCCCTCCCCGTTCTGCAGGTGGGGTGAGCTTCCCCACCCCCGCGCCTGCTTCCGACCACCCATTCTCTGCTCTTCTGTAAACTCCCTGCTGCTTTGAGACTCACGCCATTTAGCCATGGTCCTCTCTAATCTCATCTCCCTTTAGAATCCCAAATAGAGAAGTCAAGTCCCTTCTGGTCCCTTTGACTTGCCCTGAGAGTCCTGCCACTTGGCCCCTAATCTCCCCAGCACCTTGACTCCAGGGGAAGGTGTTGCGATATCCATCTGGTCAACCCGTGCGATGCCCTTTCAGGTCTCCAACCTCCTCCTCACCAGGGACTTTCTCTGTTTCAAGCACCCACTCATGTGCCCACGCCTTTGCCCCATAGCCCACGGTTATCCCACCTCTCTCGGTCCAGTTAAAAATCTCTGGCTGCGATCTTCTGCCCTTCCAGATCTCTCCATTTCTCCCACCTCCTCAGTCCTAAACTTCATCAAACTTGTCACTCTCTTGACTCTCCTTCCTGCCTCCTGTCTTCCCTCCTGACCACCCCAGCCTACACTTCATGGTCATCACTTAACCACACCTTGCCAATGCCCACAACTCACTGCCTGCTGTCCCTAAGCCTGGATTCATCTGCTCACCTGCCTGTCCCACCCTTGTCTGTATCTGTAGACTTCTACTTGGGCGCTGAGAGCGCTGGAATCAATATGCCACCATACGCACGATTGCCAACCTGGACTGGGCCGTTAGCTGCTCAGACATCCTCTTTCCTCGTTCCCTTCTCTTGGGGAAGGCCCAGAACACTGAGAGAAGCTTCCCTCTTGCTCAGAGATAACCTCACCTCTTACTTCATCTGGCACAGCGAATCCATCAGGTAGAAACCAAATTTCTCGTTGCTTCTCCCTCTAAAGCAACAGAACCCAACCAAACACATCTGTCCCAAAGGCTTCCTCACCTCCTCTCTCCCGAGACAAAGGAAAGTGCAGTCTGCCCAGGGTGAGCCTGAGCCACCCATCTGGGCTCAACATTGTGGTCCCTCGCTCCGACTCCCCAGCCGCCTCCCCCGTCTGTCTGATCTTTGCTGCCCGAGGGGTCCTTCCCAGCAACGTGTATAGGGGCATGAGCCTCTTCCGTCCTCCTCCTGACTCCTCTGGTCACCAGCCTCTTCTCACCTTCCCTCCTCCGTGGGGTCCCAGACCCCTTACTGTTCTCATCAGAGTGTCCTGCCTGTCTACTTCTTGAGGCAAGGGCTGGGCTTATTTGTCACCAGTTTTCCTGCACTGGTTTAGCACGATGCCTGAAATTCAATACATGAACAAGTGAATGTGTGCTAATTGTGACACGTAATGTATATGTGGTCATTCATAAATAAAAGCTTCCCGCTGTAGATTTTGGTTTTCTGGGTAAAAAATATTTTTGGTAGAATCTATGAACTTAAAATATGCAAAGTGATGATAAGAGCACTCCACACATTTGTGCAGTCCTGAGATTTTCTCAATAGGTAGGTAGGTAGGTAGGTAGGTAGGTAGGTAGGTAGGTAGGGGCTTCTGCAGCTATTTCCACTGAGCCATGCTGAGCACCGGGCTGGCTGCTTAACTGCAGACACACATACAGCATGGCCCTGGGCCACAGGACTAGCCTCTTCAGTGTGGGCTGAATTAGACTTTTGTCAAATCCCTTTTTTCGCTTCCTTTGGTTGGATATCAATTGGGATAGAGAACACACTGTTCCATTAGGGAGTCAGATCCTGGAACAGAAGTTAGCTGCTAGACTGGGCGTGGTGGCTCACGCCTTTAATCCTAGCACACTGGGAGGCTGAGGCGGCTGGATCGCTCAAAGTCAGTAGTTCGAAACCAGCCTGAGCAAGAGTGAGACCCCGTCTCTACTAAAAAATAGAAAGAAATTAATTGGCCAACTAATATATATAGAAAAAATTAGCCGGGCATGGTGGCACATGCCTGTAGTCCCAGCTACTTGGGAGGCTGAGGCAGGAGGATTGCTTGAGCCCAGGAGTTGGAGGTTGCTGTGAGCTAGGCTGACGCCATGGCACTCTAGCCTGGGCAACAAAGTGAGACTCTGTCTCTAAATAAAAAAAAAAATAAGTTAGCTGCTGTAAGAAGAAAATCGGGGCTGGGCACAGTGGCTCACGCCTGTAATCCTAGCACTCTGGGAGGCCGAGGCAGGCAGATTGCTTGAGGTCAGGAGTTCGAAACCAGCCTGAGCAAGACCCTGTCTCTACTATAAATAGAAAGAAATTAATTGGCCAACTAATATATATAGAAAAAATCAGCTGGGCAAGGTGGCACATGCCTGTAGTCCCAGCTACTCGGGAGGCTGAGGCAGGAGGATTGCTTGAGCCCAGGAGTTGGAGGTTGCTGTGAGCTAGGCTGACGCCATCGCACTCACTCTAGCCCAGGCGACAAAGTGAGACTCTGTCTCAAAAAAGAAGAAAATCAGAAGTTTACATTCAAAGCATAAGAGAGTCTCTTCTGACCGGACCCTGGAGAAGCCGAGGGGACCCGGCTGGGAGCTGAGCGTGCCAACCAAGGCATCCTTCGTTCTGAAGAAGGGTGCTTGGAGGGGCAACAGGGCACTCGAGAGGTGGCCACACAGGTCAGGAGGTGCTAAGGGCTTCCATGGCCACATGGAGAAAAAACAGTCCTGCTCGCATGGAAATGTCTTTTCAAATTCTTCCACAAAAAGGTGTCCAGTTGGACACTGGTCTTGTTCCTTAAAAGAGCAGGAGGTTATTATATGAATGTTGAAAGTCTCACTTTTTTTTTTTTTTCCTTTTAGCAGGCTGGATACCCCCTTCCCTTGTCTCATCCCAGACAGAAAGACCAGTGAGGCATTAGGGCCGGGTCATCATTTGGTTTTGCTCAGAAACAGCCTGGGCCTCCCCATCATCCCTTAGATAAAAGACAATTCTTCTAAAGCTTCAGTGATCTTATTACACCTATGACGGCATGAAATAAACTGACCATTGCAGCAGGCGACATAAAGTTGAAAAATCAGTCTTCAACCCTAAGTCCCCAGGAAATTTACAACTGGGGGAGTGTGGAAAAGTGGGCAGGACAGGTCTAGGCACAGCCACCTGTGGGAACAGCTTCCCCCAGGCTCACGAATAACCAGCAACTGTGGATTTCAGTCCTCCTTAGGAGTCTGGGATCCTGTAATTTTCCACTGTTATTGTTCCGTTTGAGTTTTCAAAAGTGGCTTGGGTTAAATCGGATCATTTGTCTCCCCGGTAGTTTTCCAGCCATGCTTTATTTTCTCAGGGATCTGATCTATACGGCCCTAAGGGAGACGCCCGCTCTGTCTGGCCGGAACTTCCCGCCCCCGCGCCGGGCTGCGGTTTAGCGGGAGCAGCGGGGGAAGCCGGTCGCGCCTGCGCACAGCAGCCCGTCCACAGTTGGCGCTTCCTGAAACCCCGAGGCGACACCCGTGTCTTCTGTCGCTGCCGCACCTGGACAAGAGTTTCCACGAAGAAACGGCCAAACAGGGTATAGTGATGACTGGCTGACTCAGGTTTCTGGCCGTGTCTTCAATATGTCAGGGGAAATAACAGCACTTTCCTGTATGACCTCTTAATCTGAAAATATATTCCTTCTCTAAAGGGAATATTTTAGTGTCGTGGGACCCTCTTCAGACTCTCCTGATCGGCTCAGTGAAACAGGAAGCGGCCTGACCCAGCTAAATTTAACTTTAATTCAAGGTGGTGGAAGGCTTGACAGGGCAGGGATACTGCTAGGAAAATTTAAACGTATTTAAAAAAAAAAAACAAAAACAAAAAAACCAAAGGCTTCCTGTGCCACTTAAGAGTACTTATGCCTCACCGTGATCTCATGTCTTTGCTGTCACTGAAATTCCCACATTGCCTGCTGATTTTTTACACTTATAAAGATAATAGGGTTCCTAACTCAGAACTCTGCCCATTATACCTCAGAACTGAGTTTAAAATGCTTTTAAAGGGCCGGGCGCGGTGGCTCACACCTGTAACCCTAGCACTCGGGGAGGCTGAGGTGGGCAGACTGCTCGAGGTCAGGAGTTCGAAACCAGCCTGAGCAAGAGCGAGACCCCCCGTCTCTACTAAAAATAGAAAAAAAGTAATTGGCCATCTAAAAATATATAGAGAAAAAATTAGCCGGGCATGGTGGCGCATGCCTATAGTCCCAGCTACTTGGAAGGCTGAGGCAGGAGGATTGCTTAAGCCCAGGAGTTTGAGGTTGCTGTGAGCTAGGCTGACGCCACGGCACTCACTCTAGCCTGAGCAACAAAGCGAGACTCTGTCTCAAAAATAAAATAAAATAAAATGCTTTTAAATTTAAAAACAATAACCAAAATGCCATAAGCAATAATCTGGAATAACAGACTAACCCTGGGATCCTGGGAGTCTTTTTGCTGACTCCCTGTTCACTCTCTCTTTGCTTGGTAAGGGGTTATTTTTCTTGGGTCCTCCAGCACCTTGACGCTGGCTGTGGATCTCTGAGCAGCCCAGAGCCTCTACTGCCTTTTCTGACTCAACTGCACCACAAAGGTGTGTCACCTGTTGCCTTCCGGTGACATTTATAAATGCACTTGTACTAAGTAAAGAAAGAGTGAAGGCCCGTTTGCATTTGGGCCTTATGAAATCCAGTGACCATGATGATGATGACAATGATCTTGGCAGTAGCATATCCCAAATACTTGCTCTGTGGCTGACACCATTCTATAATAGGATCTTTACTTCTCCTGACAACTCTGTGCGGGGCATATTGTTATTTCTAAGCTTCTCAGTGAGGAGATTGCTGTATGGAGAGGCTAAATCACTAGTCCAGGGTGGACACAGAGCTCAGAAGAATCCAGAGAGCTTGGCCTCAGAGCTGGTGACCCTAACCCTCACTCTATGATACCAAAACCAAACCCTCAGCTAGGCGCAGTGGCTCACGCCTGTAATCCTAGCACTCTGGGAGGCCGAGGCGGGAGGATTGCTTGAGCTCAGGAGTTTGAGACCAGCCTGAGCAAGGGCGAGACCCTGTCTCTACTAAAAATAGAAAGAAATTAGCCGGGCGTGGTGGCACGTGCCTGTAGTCCTAGCTACTCGGGAGGCTGAAGCAGGAGGATCACTTGAGCCCAGGAGTTTGAGGTTGCTGTGAGCTAGGCTGACGCCATGGCACTCTAGCCCGGGCGACACAGTGAGACTCTGTCTCAAAAATAAATAAATAAAACGAAACCTTCCTTTGACTATGAATTAGATATTATAGGTGGTGCTAAATTCTGCCTAGTAGCAACATTTTAAGCAGGATTAGCTATCAGATCAAAAATAACTTTTGGATAAAGACTATTTTTATGAAAAAAATTGCAAAGAGCCTAAAGTTATGGTTATTTTTTAAACAATACTGTGCCACCATAATCCCAGTGTAAACGTGGAGAATGAACTATGCCTGAAGACATCCTATATCTGAGCCATGCCAAGAAAATGAGGATAAAGGAAATAGGTTGATTACGTTGTGCAGTCAGCACCATGTAGCTTGGAGAGTTCAAAACCTGTAACTACGGCACCTGCTCAGCCATCACCAGTGCAAGGGGACACCACCGAGGCTCTGCGGTAGCCTTCTGAGGGTGCAGCCAAGAATCTCTAGGGCTCTTTCTGTAACAGGATAATGTATCCTCCCAGGATCGTTAACTTGTTCAAAGTTTTTATTTACTTTTCAGCGGCCAGGGTCCATTGACTTCTGAGTGAGGGTTCAGTTAGGACTCACTGTTGATATTTATGCAACTGGTACACATCAGATTTTGTGAATGATTTCTAAGGGCCTGGGGCCTTTGATCTGATTGTTTGCTGTGATTGCTTTTAGGAGGTGAGTGAGAGACAGTTACAAGTAGTCACTAAAGAAGGTAGCCCCTCTGGTCTCCACCACCAGACTCATGGAGCCCAGTCTGTTGGGAGTCAGCAACATTGCCCATAGCCAGAAGGACAAGAGAAGACCCTGCAGCACAGAACAAGGGGTGTCACCGTTTTAGACACACACACCCACCCACCCACACACACACACACACACACACACAGATGGGAATCCAACAAAATTCAAATAGAAAAACTGAATTATGGCAAAGCTGTCTTGAGCGTTAGCTATGCACAAAGAGACTGTCTTCCCATCCCCCCAAAGCTGTTATTGGTTTAAATTATTGATTTATAGTATTCTAGATGAAGTAAAATATCTCAAAGTTGTTTAGAACACAAGACAAAAGGCATCATTGTGGCATGAGAAAATTAGCAAAGAGTCAAACTGTCATTAGTTGCAGCAGTGATTTAAGAATTATATATCCTGAATTTATTTGTCTTTACAACTATAACCATACTGTATGCCTGAGATTTTTCACCTAGAAAAGTGACATGATGAAGTAATAAGCTATAGAACAATGTGGATAAAATTAAAGTACCATGAAAATTTCTAAACTAAAGATAGAAAAATGAGCACATTTTTATCTCTTACTATTTCATACATCAATAACACGTGCGGTCGGAAATGCACATGCTGAGATTCACTCTGTAAACCCAGAGTCACTGCATTCCAGACCTTTTATCTTTGAGAATCAGAGTAGTCCTGAAGAGTGGCCTTGCTCCAGCCCTATTACCTACACAGGCGAGGGGATGGAGGGGACCCAGGGAAAGGAGACAGCTTTGTGCTCCACTTGGCCCGCAGCCCTGGGAGGATGCTGTGGCATAAGGACGTATTTGTTGATGAAGTATAATAATTCATTCAGAAAACATTTATGGATCACATGGAGAATAACCACCTCTTAAATATGCAGTGCTGCAGAGTCTTGAACATAACTTCGCACGTTATCTAACTGGTTTTATCTAACAACTCTACAGCGACAGGTAAGAATGGAAAAGTCCCATGTTACAGATCAAGAAACTGAGGCTCCAAGAGAGTCTGTGCCTTGCCCCAGATTCTGAGTTAATACATGGTGCAGCCGAACAGAATCGAGGAGATGGTTGGCTGCCTGGTGCTCCTTCCTCGTCCCTTCAACACGGGATGGAGCAGGAGGAGCGGTGGCAGGGGGGCAGGATGAGCACCTCTCTGCCATCATCAGGCGAGCAAAGCTGGGGAGGGGCATGCATGTCCTCACACAGACACGGACTATTACCTATGCAGGCATTTAAGTATGAGAAATAATTATTACTAAAGGAGATTTTTTTTATGTCTAGTTTGGGGATCTGGAGTGCCCTTATAAAGAACATATGTTGTCTAGCACTCTGGGAGGCCGAGACGGGCGGATTGCTCGAGGTCAGGAGTTCGAAACCAGCCTGAGCAAGAGTGAGACCCCGTCTCTACTATAAATAGAAATTAATTGGCCAACTAATATATAGAGAAAAATATTACTGGGCATGGAGGTACATGCCTGTAGTCCCAGCTACTTGGGAGGCTGAGGCAGGAGGATCGCTTGAGCCCAGGAGATTGAGGTTGCTGTGAGCTAGGCTGATGCCATAGCACTCACTCTAGCCTGGGCAACAAAGCGAGACTGTGTCTCAAAGAAAAAAAAGAGAACAAAGAACATATGTTGGGCTGTTGGAAGTTTTCCCTTTGACAGGAGTAAGGAGCAAGGTCACAGCATCTGATGACAGAGTGCTGTCCTGCTCAACCTCTACCCCGCAGTCTGGGCAAAGAAGTCCCGCAGGTCAAGCAGCTTCATTAAGCTCCCAGCACTGAAGCTCCCAGGGAGGTCCCCGAACAAAAGGAAAGTATCTCAGTGACATGTCACTCTTCTCTGCCTTCTCATTCTCACTTACCTAATGTGGGAGAGTGAGACCCTGGAAGAGGCATCCGGTAAAGTTAGTACGACCCCAGTCAAGGCCCTGATGACCCCACACAGGAAGATTTGTGACGCTGTCCCCAGTGGCAGCCGGACAGTGACCCAGTACCCTGACTGCGGAAAGGCCTATTGGTCATGCTCGTTCGGTGACTCTGGACACGGCGTTCAGTCTTCCGCGTGTGGGGGACTCGGCACTTTGCTTCATTTCTGTTCATCTACCTGACGGCGGAAGGCTGAGAGCAGATGATGAAACGCCTCCCAGAAATGCCCACGGCCCAAATGGGGCTCCTCTTTAAGCCTTTGCAAGTCCTGTGAGATTTCCACTCAGAGACTTCAAAGCAAAAAAGACTCATATAATTAAGTGCAAGTACTAAATCTTACCAATTGAAATGGTTATTTGAAAGCATCACTTAGGAAAATATTAATAAAAATGTATATGTTAGGAGAATAACTCTCTTGCTCTTCTCTAATAAAACTCCTTACTATATATTATTTAAAAGTAATATATGTCAAGGGAAAAAAGCCCATTTTCTTTGTGTCTTAGTAGAATGACAAACTACTTACGAGACTGACACACTTATTAGACCAGTATTAAACTAACAAACTGCCTCTCTCTCCCACTATAAAAGAGACAAAACTATACAATTAATTCTTGGGAATAAATTCAAAAAGTAGTTTCTAAAGAAGACCAGAGCATTTTGTAGAAGTTCATCAAATGAGACCTGAATGAATGCAGAAGCAAAAACCATGCTCCATGAGGGAGGAGAAGACTTGTCTGGGACCTTTCTGAGTTCATTTGTAAATTCAATGGCGTTTCAGTCAGAATTCCAGTGATTTGGGTTTTCATTTGGACCAGGGCAAAATGAGTTTTAACTCCACATAAGAGAAAAACCAAGAAAAATGTGATACGGGAGTCTAGTGAGGGGGCTCTCGCCTTCGCAAGAAACTAAACGAATGACCAAGAAGCCGGCTCCCAGCAGAGATGCTCATGCAAAGAGGCCGGACTTCAACAGCAGGAAAATGAAAACTGAAACGAGACTGCCATCAGATTAAAAGAAATTACAGCTGATAAAATCTAGCGCTAGTGAAGATAAGGTGTAACGGGAAATGTCACGGAGTATTGGCGGGCACGTTAACTGCTGTCATTTTGTGGGAAAAGAATATGTCAAGAGGTATTAAAAGGAAGTGTACCAACTTCTTAGTCCAGTAATCCCCCTTTAGAAATCTATCTAAACAAGGATCCCAGTACATAATGACACGCATAGAAAGATGTTCATTAAAGGGTTGTTTGTCATGGCACATGGCTGACAATAATCCGTCCACCACCATGGGAAAGGGGACATCGGATAAGGGACTGTGACACACACAACATGAACTGGAACAAAATGTACAGAAGTAGAATGACGCCCGTGAAACAGTGTTAAGTAGAAGGAAGTTGTACCTCAAGCAATATAGTATGCTCTCACTCTTTTTTTAAAAAAAGACCCTTAAAAATGTGTAAATATATTTGCATGAGCAGAGAAAGACCATTGGAGACTGACATATACTGAGCTGCTGATACTGGTTATTTTAGGAAAGGTGGGATTGAGGTGGGGGCAAAGAGGGAGAAATTATTACCGTGACACACATCTGTATTGTTTTATTTATGACAAAGAGCAGATGTTACTTTTATTAGTTTAAAATGAAAAAAAAAAAAGCACCTCTAGCAATGCAAAGTAAATGAAATACCTAGTTTCCTAGGGTGCAAAGCCAAGCAACCGCCCGCAACGCAAAGGCCGGGGAGTCACCGGTGTGCTCTTAGTGATCACCTGTGCTGTCTCTGAGCAGCAGCACCCCTGTTCCTCTTGCTTGAAAAATGCTGTGATTTCCGACAGTTCTAAATGCAAGGAGCTGAATACCAGGAGCGGTGTGTTGGCCACAAGACAGCCACAAGAAAGCTCCAAAACCTACACCTTCGGGCATGAGCGAGTCGCCCTGTATGAGACCCATTTTCCCTTTTCTTTTTGACTTCCAGACCTACATCATGATTTGTTTACAAATAGGTAAAACGATTATACCAGTCCGATGAGAGCATAAAGGCATTTAACCCAGTCTGCTGGGTCCTAGAGATTTACCAGGACTATCAGGGCGGCCGCTGTTAGAACTCTAGATTAGCAAGCCCAACCTCTGAATTTCCTGGCTGGGCTAGCTCTTAATCCAGCTGATACGCCAGCAGAATGCTTTCCTCTTGTCTTCTGCCTCTCCTCTGCGAACAAGGTCCATTCCTCCCCCCTCCACGAACCTTCCTGCAGCCTGTCTAAGCCACAGGGTCGCTCCTGTCGCAGGGATGACTGTCGCCATTTATTTATCCACAGAACTGCTTCGTTCACTCAAATATATGCTGTGTTCACTCAAATATATGCTGTGTTTGCCTGGCCCCGTGCTCTTTGTGGACACATGTACAGGATGGGGTGGCCAAACAGGCTGTCATCGTTTCATGGCCACCACCTCATGTACACTGGCAATAAAGGGCATGGGGCCAGGCAAACGCCACCCTCGCTAAGTCTATTTGGACGTTTCTTTATATCCCCCACAAACCTGGAATTGGGGGCTCGTGTGTAACAGCTACTGAGTGATCCATTGCCGTAAGGATTAGGGCACTTCCACGTGAGGAAGAGGATAGTCTCAGGGAGCAGGAGGTGAAAAAATGGGGAGAAGACAGTAGAAAAGCAGAAAGAAATATACATGGACTGTCGCCAAAACAAAGGCTAAGACAGAGACACAGTAGGGCGGCTCCACAAGTAATACAGATGAGATAATAGCTAACGGATCAAAGCGAGTAGAAAATGAAACCTTAGCAAAAAAGTGTATGAGTGTCCCCAAGCAGCTGTGCAAAAAGAAAAAAAAAATGTGCTTCCCATGGCACAGTGTCACTTGGACTCTTGGGGTGTGACTACACCTAAACCCGCCTGGCGCACACACGACAGCAGGCACAGAAGAATGCGGGCATCCTGCCCACTTCAGTGTTAGAGCTGTTTTTACCAAGTCTCATTCCTGAGCTTCCTTGTGGCTTAAATGCATTTTTGAAAGTAAATTTAATATCCTTGTATCGCATTTAGGTCGCCTTCAACTACTCTAAACGCATGTCGTGCTCCCAGATTGGTGGTGATTGAACAAGTAAACAAACAAAAAAGGTAAGCTCCTTTTCTATGCTGTGTCCATCTAGAAATTTTCTTTAGTGCTCAGCATTTTGGCTTGGTAACCTCTCCATAACACTAAGGAATAAACTAAACAATTCTTCCTGTTTTACTAAGAGTAAAAGGTTATTTGTTAACCTTCAAAATGGCCAAATGAAGACGTTTAAAACTGCACTTTTAATATAAAACAGTGATGATTCTGGACGTTGAGTAATACAGATGTTCTTTTTGTGTGAAATTAATAGCTGTGCCTGGTTGGGCGCGGTGGCTCACGCCTGTAATCCTAGCACTCTGGGAGGCTGAGGCGGGAGGATCGCTCAAGGTCAGGAGTTCGAAACCAGCCTGAGCAAGAGCGAGACCCGTCTCTACTAAAAATAGAAAGAAATTAATTGGCCAACTAAAAATATAGAAAAAATTAGCCGGGCATGGTGGTGCATGCCTGTAGTCCCAGCTACTCAGGAGGCTGAGGCAGAAGGATTGTTTGAGCCTAGGAGTTTGAGGTTGCTGTGAGCTAGGCTGATGCCATGGCACTCTAGCCCAGGCAACAGAGTAAGACTCTGTCTTAAAAAAAAACAAAAACAAAAAAAGCTGTGCCCGTGTAGTTTAGTCTGCTTGAGAGTAAGCTGTGATACCTTTCGATTCCCCAATATAGAATATGACTCTTCTTCACAAGTTAAAATGCACTAAGCTTCCCTATTCTCTATCCTTCCAAAAGTACAGAGCAAAAATGTTTCTCCATAATTATTTCTATGTAAAGATAAAAGTACACTAAACAGATAAAACATGCCATAAACTATTATAGTACCTAATTTTTAAACCTCTCAAACACACGTGGAACTTAAGAACTCTCATCCCATATGACTGTGTTACGTGTTTTCTTGGCTGGCGCAAAAATTGAAGAATTCAAAGAGAAAAACACGGAACAGGGAAAAACAGGAAGTCCCAAATTTGAAAAACACTCAATCCACCTTCTATGCAAACCACAAAAAGATTCGACAAACTAAGTATTTGTTGACACTGGCTGTAATTTTTGAAAAGGGACAGAACCTTAAAATATACCTGGAATGAGACCCAAATCACTTGTTCCCTGGTTCTTTTCTTTTTCTTTCTTTTTGTAAAAATATATTTTAGAGGAACTGCTAAGTAGAAGTCTAAAATTACTCTCATATTCATCCCTGAATAGATGAAGAGAGTTGTATGGAGATGAGACTGTTTTCAAGGACCCTTCTATGTGTGGCCTGGGGTCTGTGCTGGGCATTCTCTCATGAGTTACCACATTTCCTTAATCCTCTTGAAAACAGCGAGGGAGGGAGTCTTAGCTCTCGTGAAAGACACAGACTGGAGCTCACAGGGAAAAATAATCTACCCAAGGTCATAAAGCTACTTACTGGCAGAACTGGGACCTTGGCCTCTAAATCCAGCCGAGTCAGCTGGCAAACATGTGGACCACCAGGTCTGGTTCTCAGTTTCCCCACATATCAGCTGTGTTAAGACCTTTCTGAGATCCAGCATCCTTTTCAGTAACACAGGGATGCTCCTCCCAACCTGTATCCTAAAGGTCAGATTTTAGCGTTAACAGATGACGTAGCAACGGAGGCAGACCACCAGCTTCTCTTTCCCCTTCAGTCAGGCAGAACGCTGGAGATGCAGGGTTTGGAGGTGTGAGTCCCCGGCCTAAGCCAGAAGCCCTGGCATAGGAGGGACGCTACAGCCCTCTTGGGACTTCAGGATGCAGTTTCCGTTCAGGGCAGACTCAATATTAGTCCCGAAGACCTCTGGCACATCCAAAAATCTTCTAGAATCTACTTGCTTTTAAGAACAGCCATACTGGCCGGGCGCGGTGGCTCATGCCTGTAATCCTAGCTCTCTGGGAGGCTGAGGCAGGCGGATTGCTCGAGGTCAGGAGTTCAAAACCAGCCTGAGCAAGAGTGAGACCCTGTCTCTACTATAAATAGAAATTAATTGGCCAACTAATATATATAGAAAAAATTAGCCGGGCATGGTGGCGCATGCCTGTAGTCCCAGCTACTTGGGAGGCTGAGGCAGGAGGATTGCTTGAGCCCAGGAGTTTGAGGTTGCTGTGAGCTAGGCTGACGCCATGGCACTCACTCTAGCCTAGGCAACAAAGTGAGACTGTGTCTCAAAAAAAAGAACAGCCATAGCTATAGACAGATGCAGGCCAAAAATTACTGCCTCGATCATCTGGGTCACACTCGCCTGGTCCCTTAACGTGGTCTGGAGGGCCGATAGGGAAGGGCCTTAACCCTGGGGCGGATGGATGAGCTCCTCTTCCAGAGGTGCCCGTGCTGACCCGAACCAAACGGCCCTCCCGTCAGCAGGAGGGTGAGGAACAGCAAGAAGAACTGTGGTGGTTCCTCTGTGATCTCCATAAAAATGCAAAGATGCAGACTCGATGAAGCAGTTCTCAAAGCGCCTTCTATACCACGTCCCTTTGCTGCTACCCAGGCTCCTCTGGCTTTAATAAGCCTTTTCTTACTTTCATTTTCTTTTTTATAGACATGGTTACCTTGCTTAAAAATTGGTTTTGCATAAATTCACCCTCCCCAAAGTCAGCTGTTGACTTTTGCGTGGTCAAAAGCTAACCAAAATCAAGCAAACTTCTCTTTACTCAATATTTATTATCCTCATCGAATGTGACAGCCTTAGAAGGAGGTGTGCCCAATGTGTACAGTGAGCACTGGTTTTACATTTTCAAAAGCAGCTTCCGGTGATAGCTCATGAAGGCAGAAGTCTACCCCGGTGTCTGCTCTGGGGCTCTCTCAACTCTCACCTTCTCTTCTAGCAAATCTCTGCCACGCAGGTGCTGCTGGGAACTGGCCCGTGTGGCAATCGCTTGGTGAAGAAGTGTTTGTTCAGTACCTGTTACGTGCCCGGTGCTGTACCATGCAAGAGCCATGGGGCACACACGAGGTTAAAGGGTGGTCCCTGCCTTTGAGGAGGTTATATGAAAATATGCAGCGAGCAAAGGACAATAACGGTGGCACTGACTCGAATGGTGAGAACAGGCTGAGCATGCTGGAGAAGACCGGGCAGGGTCCTGGGTCCCTGGAGAGAGAGCAAGGCCTTTGAGGGGGTTGGAGAGTGACTGAGCTCAGCCTGCTCCTGGCTCAACAGGAGGTCAGGGCCGCTCAAGGAAGACGCAGCAGAGTGGGAGGAAACTGGGCCGGGAGTCTAGAGTCAAGTCCATCATGCCAGCAGGGCATGGAGATCAGATGTGACTGGCACTAGGCAAGACTGCAAGCTTGTGACACAGAGTTTGTGACAACTGACCTGGTGGGAATGTGCACAGTGGGCCAGAGTGGCAAGAAAATAGAGTCAGGAAACCAACTGTTGTCACGGTGCCCAGGGAAGAGGTGCTGTGTCTCAGACCCGTGTCGGTGACGGTGGGGAAGGAGGGTGGGAGCCATCATACGTGTTGATGCGAGAAATAAGATCTGTTCCTTGTCCGCCTCAAGCATCCCTCTTCCCCATGCGAACCTCCCTGCGGTGGGGACTGTCCCTCCTTCACCACTGTGTCCAGGCTGGCAATGAACGCTGATCAAAGGAAAGAACGGTTTTGGGGTTTTGAGCTGAAAACAGTCCCTGGGACTCACTACCCATCCTTGGAGTTATATATAATACAGCAATACTGAGTTACAACAAAGCCTAAAATAAAAGAGTGGTGGACATCCTCACCAAAGTTTAAAGAGGCCAGGGTGTGTCCTGCCTTAGACTCAGTCTCCCTTCACCCTGACATCTAAGGATTCTGGGCGTGACAGAGGCCCACGGGGACAATGTGTCTGCTGTAGACCTGGTGAGGATGCACCTGTGCCGCTTAGTCCACGATTCCACACGTGTGCAGTGACGGCTCAGAGGGTCCCCTCTATCCTGACCGTGCATGGCCAGAGACCTAAGCCTTAAATGTCCTTCACCTCTGGTGGCTGCATGCAGCAGCGCACGCGAATTTCCCCAGTCCCCAGGGGTTGTGCCCGTGCAGAGCAGGCGGCACGGTGGGGACTGTGGGGAATCAGAGGCAGTGAGACCGCTGAACACGCTGGGCACAGTTCCCTGGAGATGCCTCATCAGGGTATTTGGGAAGAGGCTGAGCGGCCAGGAGACGCGCAGGGATGAGGAGGCAGAGTCAGTGGGCAAGGGGCAGAGCAGCCGGACCAGGAGGTTCATAGGACTGGTGGCCGCAAATCTCAGTTGCTGCTGTCCTCGCCTGCGCTGCCTCAGCTCCTCCTGCCCTGGAGAAACCCAAGCCCAAGTGAGTTTGTCCTGGAAGTTTGCAAGTGACACCTAGTGGCCCAGCTAGCTGGAGGGCAGCAAGTGAGGCCCTGGCAGGAGCAGCTTCATGCCTGTCGGCCAGCGCTCTCTCTCGTGGGGCCGTCAGTCTGCTCCCTCTGCATTTGCTATCGGTGCATTTCTGTGTGGCTGACTGTTGAACAATGAATGGGGCGACCGCCCACTGGGGGAAAAATGTTTTTCTCTAAGTGGAAGAAGTAATGCTAACCAATGATCCATCCTGGCCTGCAGAGCAAATGTGTTTGCTAAGCTAATGCTTATCTGATGGCAAACTTCTGCTGGGATAAACAGAAATATCATTAAGATCTCTTTACACTGGTGAAAACCAAATCTCGTAGGATGTAGACAGAGTGAGTGCAAATAACTGCACGGCTCCATTCTCTTGCGCAGTGGATAACTGGCGCGTGGACTCCGGCAAGCCCTAACAGTCGCAGGCAGGAAAGCGTTGTTGGGAAGCACGCTAGGAAACCAGCCTGTTCTGGGGCAGCAGACCTTGTTTCCAAAGGACACTCATTTTAGCCACAGTGGAGACCTGGAAAAAGCTGAACTGCACAAACCAGAGCTGTATTCTGCAGTTCCTGCGTGCCCAGCACAGACTGCGAATCCACAGCGTAGCTGTGGTGGGGACACATAGGAAGAGGGACTGGGGCTGCAGTCAGAGAACATGAACTAAAGACAGCTCAGGGAGGGCC